GCTTCAGAGCCAAATATTGTTGGGACAGGCTGACATGCAGGGTCAGCAACTGGCCACTTTCCAATAATACGTCCCTTTGGTCAGACGGCAGGCCTGGTGAGCCCAATAATACCCAGTGTTTGGCTTTTGATAGGTTCTACYCATTGATCTGCAGCCGCTTCCAGCTCTAATGAATAATGAATGGCCATATTGTCATCCTGCTCAGATCAAATTTCATGTAGCAATGGACTGCACTGGTAATTAGATGGGACTTTGCTGGCCTTTCGCTTCCTGCCAGACAATGTGGTGCAGAGAAAGAAAGGAAAAGGAAAAAAAAAACAAGCAAATCTTTGAGTGCAATTTGTGGCATTGCAAAAAAAAGAAAGTTTTGAAGTGTATCAAATTATCTTATTGAGTTATGATGTCGTCGATTCAAAATAGGAAACTATCATTTTAAAAAAAGCTGAAAAAAGAAACGTGAAATGCTACAATGGATCTGACCTAGAAACTCAAAAAGCTAAAGCAGCAATGGCTAAATATTTTACCATCTAACAAAGCATGTGAATAAAAACGTATTACTTCGTATGAATTGCTTTTATAAAAATAAGTAAACAATATAGCACATCTCCAAGATAGCAGAACAAATCTATTACTAATTTCTAAAAAACTACATCTTAACAAACGTTCTGATGAAGYAGTAGAAGTAGTAGTAGTAGTAACAGCAGTAGTARTGGTAGTAGTAGTAGTAGTTTTGGGGAAACAAGTAATTTCTAACTTCATTTCTTAGCCTTTTAAAGAACAACTTCAATTTCATTCAAATATCATAAATCAGTGTTGTGCATTGGCAATAATTTGGTGATATGTAACAACACAGGGGTCATGATATGATATACTGTGATTCAGTAAGTAAGATGATTAATTGCCCTTTTTTCTCCAAAATTCATTGCATGTATAAAATCCGATTAAATTATTTTATTTTTATGTAATCAAAGCAACACTGCATTTGTATTACACCTCTTCTTACAACAGCCACCCATAAAGCCTTATTTAGAAATTGATACAATGCTTATGAGAATTGATACAGTATCAGGAATTAAAATATCTCAATATTTTACTGCATCAATATTTTCAAACACTCCTTTCTAAAGTGGGGAAWATTATAAATTTGGACCTGAACTACAACCCAAAAGGTTTGCTTTTCTTTTTTTTAATTAAAGTAAATACAGTGAGCTGCATCTAGTTTTGCTTTTATTCAAGCTTTCTGTTATTTGTCTCAAAGAAAARGATCAATAAAACATTTTATTCAAGCTGCAGGAGCAGAATCTAACTGTTTCAGCAGATCCAAAATGAATTGAAAACTGCTGAAACAACAGCAAGGCTCAACAAAAGGAATGCATTATTGCACATACAAGAACATTATTGTTATTTATATTTTATTGCACACTAATTTGACATATTTTCATGTCAAAACAAGGTCTTAAAAAATCTTTTCAGTCTCTGCTTTTTGTCCAAAGTTAAGTTGATTGGCAGATCTTCTTAAAAATAAAAACTGAAAACTAAAAATAAATGTATTTTTTTGTATTATAATATAATGTAGAATCATATAGTGTGTACAAATCCAGTAGTGACATTGTTAATTAAGGAACCATCAATTAGAGCTTGATCAGTCAGCAGTACTGCTGAAGCCAGAGAGCCAAGCAAGTGCATGTCTCTCACAAACYGCTGCCAAGCCTGATGACTGAGCAGTGATTACGACTATAGTCAGTGGACGRCATAGCATTGACCATTGCTGTCGTTATACATGGTTGTGCTCCGGTAGTTAYGATTATTACAGCAGTGACATAGTGGAAACATGAAATGTATGCTGGTGTGAGAGTGTGAACAATCAGCTGGCTAACTGATGCAGTAAAAGTATTATTCTTAAAAACTGGGCTGTTAACAATGGCGTGTTGTTGATGTGCCAAGCTTAGAGGACTCAGTATAAGTAAGCAAAAGTATTTTTAGTATAGCTTTAAAGTGCATGTGACATGCCTATCCTTCAAAYGYAAAAAGTCAAAGAAAATATTTTCATATTTAGGAAAATTGTCATAAAAAACCTGWTTTAACCCATTTTGTCCCATAACTGGTATATTTTCCTTTGAATTTGGCTCAGCTAAAGTGAAACAGGAAGTGACATCAAAGGGAAACTCTTTTAACAAAGAAAACTCTCTGGTCTTTGTTTATTTAAATTATATTATTTGAACTCTGACTTTTCTTCATCTCTCTCTTTCAGGGATTAAAATTATCTAAAGAAACATCAGAAGACTCCCAGCTGTCTGTGCTGTTAGCCGTTGTAGCAACGCTCTGTTCACACGCAGACATGCCCCTTTGACATCACTTCCTGTTACTTCACATGCAAAYATCTCAACAACTGTTCATCTCAATGGTGTGAAATTGCTTTTGCAATATGTTATCCATGTTATCTTTCCAGAAGTGGAATCACATTTATCACAAAGAATTGATGYCACAGGCACTTTAAAAACAGCTGTGGCTACAGCTGCTGACATGCTATTAAACTCCTAATAATTTGGCTGAAGCTCATTTGTTTGACCACATGTCAATTTTATGACAAAATCCTAATAAASCACAAAGAGTTGCTGCTTCACATAAACAGTTGTGAAATTTAAAAAGAAGATTTACGTGTGTATTTTATTTTAGCCAGCCCTCTGCACAACAGTTTCCTGATGGCATTTTTCTGCATGGTCCTATTAATGTGCAACACCACTGACTGTTTGGATGTCCTTACAACRTGTTCTTTTCTCCGGAGCAACATGCAGGGGGAGGGGTACGAACGGAGATAACGTCAGCATCAATAAATTTAAGCTTGCGAAAATCACCCGTCAACTGGTTGGATTTGGACCCTCTCTTYCTCTCCAATTAAAATAAATTGTTTTAACTCTTGAGCCGGATTGCTGCAGCGGCAGAATCATTTTTATCTTTGGAGAAAGTTCTGGATCAAACACTCGGGCAAGCGGGGGGGCTCTAACGCAGTTCACGTGAAAATCAAGACTTAAACTGAAAACACAGCGAGGGGTTAGCAAAAAGTAAACTTGAGGTTCACTAATAAAACTGTGTGCTTTGATATTCCTGGGGTATATGTGGGGACATAAGATGTAAAAAGGGGACCAGAGGCAACAAAAAGGATGATTGTTAGGTTGTGTAAACAAAAAATATATACATACAGTGCAGCTGCTCAGTGGTTCACAAACAAGACTGCAGTTGTGCCTCACTTCTACTTAATGTGAGTAATCATGTCACATTTTACAGAGAATGTGCATTCATGACAAGAAAACATCCTTATCTGCACAGACTAGATTAATAAAAATGAAAAACAAAAACAGGCAGATGAACAGATGAAGGATTTTGGGACTAAAACAAGAAGGAACTTAACCAAGATAAAGACCTTGTAACATAACCACTGTTTGTTTTTTTTTTCTATATAAAATACATTGAAGAGAAAATGTATCATCTGATTTGTATAACAGTTGCTGTCATTTCATTGTAAAAACTATTCCATATTTCCACTTGTAAAACTGATTTTTGGGCAGGTCATGCTGATTTTTAGGTGTGGCTGAGATTAGTCTATAAAAGGGGCGTGTGCGTCGGCGCGCAGCGGCGCAATCAGAGAGGAAGACGCTCACCGTCAGATCGTGCAGCGGGAGACTTGAAWTGACTGAAAGTTTAGAATAAGTGATCGGTCATAGAAAAGAGAAAATAAAACAGCAATCAAAGTTTCGCCCCAGCGCCACGGATCGTGCGCTGTCAGMGCTGGATTGGAGCTGGTACCCAGGAAACGCCGACAGGTGCAAGAGGACGCCAATTTACCGGAGGACGCCGACGGTGCGAGAAGACGCCACCGGGGGAAAGGAAAGGAAAGGAAAGACATTCTCGGTGAGATCTGGACTTTACTTTTCTTTTTGGGGATTTTTTGGTGGTACCACATATTTTTTCTCATTTGTTGGGGGGAGTGTTTTTTTGACGCGTTGGAGTTTTCGTTTTGAATTGGGACTTTGAATTAAAGCGGAGAAATTCTCCCAGGAYATGGAACTCTGTTGTGGACAATAATCGCATCAAAAAAGGAACGGGAATGTTTGGACATTTAACCTTTTGGGTTTCTATATTGACAGGGACTGAGTGAATTAAATTTAAACTAACCTTTTATTTTTGAAGGATTTTTGGGTTATTTGATCTGTAACTATTTTTATTTCTTAGCTTGTGGTTTTTGTAATAAATCATTTTTGCTAAAAATCGACAAAACTTCATATTGAATGACTGTTTTTTTATTTCTCAAATTAACTGGTGTAACATATTTTTTCTGATGCCGGTAACGATCCCCTTTGAGTGTATTTGTGAGTTCTGCTTTAAATAGAAGCTGGATTTTACAACCTTAAGTGCCTGTGACGTGCCTATCCTTCAAAAAGTCATAGAAAGCWTCTTTATATTTAAGAAAATTGACATTGTACACATGATTTTACCCATTTTGTCACATAACTGACCTATTTTCTTTTAAATTTGACTCAGCCAAAGTGAAACAGGAAGTGACATCAAAGGGGAACTCATTAATAAAATAAACTCGCTGGTCTCTGTTTATTAAAACTAAATTATTTAAACTTTAACTCTTATTCATCTCTCTTTGATAGCAACTAAAAATAATGTAAAGAAACATCAGAAAGCAACGAGGATACAGTATTTACTTAAATTTCAACGCAAATTTATACTGAAATATTTTGTATGTACAAGTCTAGAAGCATTAAAACAATAAAGACACTGTTTTTAAAAACAATGCAATTTCTTAYATTGTAGCTAGAAATAATAATGTTGCCCTAACAAACTAATTTAGATGCATTTGTTAGTGTGCAAATGCAGGCAATGCTATGCTGGAGTCTGCTTCTCTTTAAACCTAACTGAACGAACAATAGTAGTAACACTGTGGATAAGTTAGTGGATCATGTTGTGTGAGTCGGCAAACGGTGTCCTCTTACCTGCAACAGGTGATCCCGCTGTGATCACTGTTACCAACAAGGTTATCCCCAGGAACACGGCATGCTGGGTAAGAGCCTCGAGCATCACCACTAAACCCACAGTGGAGAGTAAAGCAGCCATGGTGCGGCGGGGATGAAGTCAAGGCATTTCACCCGGTTAAGAAGAACAGATTCATCTCCAGGAGACAAAATGAGGACCGGTCTTTTCCTTATACCCCGTCCTCCGGCAACATGGCCTTCCAGTGGAGAACAGCTGTAGGAAACAAAGAAGACACTTATGCAGCTGAAGACATATTTTTTAAAATTGGCTTTTATTTTTTTTTCAACGTAATATTTTTATCACATGTATGTTTTGTTTCATCTATCTTGTTTTATCTATCTTATTTTATCTCTTGTGTTTTTATGTCTTCTTGTAAAGCACTTTGTGGTTTCTGACCTTCAAAAGGTGCTTTATAAATAAAGTTTACTTACTTACTTACTTACTTACTTACTTACTTACTTACTTACTTACTTACTTACTTACTTACTTACTTACTGTAAAACAAGCATGATTGTATTTACTTTTCTGCATCACTAGAATAATCAATTTTAACTTGAAGCATATTTTAACAGAGAGGATCATCTGAACAAGGCTTATTATAAATGTGAGAGAAAATAAAGTATTTTTTTTCTTAATTTTACTGGTTAATATCTCAGCATGGGCAATTAAAATAAAATCCTGGTAAGTTAAAGTTGGATTTAGTCATGCTTGTTTAGAAAAAAAATTAGGTCATCACTCACAGGCAGAGGACTAGGTTCAGTATTATCATGTATGATTGGTTCATGATTATGATTTTTATGAATTAACCTTGGCTATGGGCTTTGTTTATGATATATTACCAATCACAAGGAGACATGCGAGGTTAAAGAAAACACGAGACAAAACAAGGCGACAAGGCAGACGTCATATCTGTGCTGTTAGCCCCAGAAGCTCTTATCATGACACAGTTCAGTCTCTTGTCCTACATCCCGTCCCGTTACTAGTGAGATTAAAGCTCATGTGGCAATTCTTCATAAAACTACACAAAGCAGGTTATCCATTCCTTGAGCGGAACTGTAAAAATGTCACAAGCGTGCAGACTGTAATGTTATTTCCCTAAGCTAGCTCTGAAAACCAAAGATAAAACGATATTTCCCCTTGTCTCCCCCCTGCCTGAGCTGCTTTCATAGCTCATAGCTGCGCACACAGACAGACTTACCTCCACACACAAAAAAAGCTCCGACTCAGTCAGTTTTTCAAATAGGATGAGAAGAAAATATCCTTGAGTGGAATAAACCGCTGCACGAGGCTTTCCCCTTATCCTTTACGTAATCACGTTCCTGCCTTTGAAGTTCTTCCAAAGTGAACGTGCCGCAGACAACCTGGTAGCTCCTCGGGATCTGACACTCTTTTAGGAACAGTTACCTTCCCTCGCCTTGATTGGATTAGCCCCGCCCCCTGACTGCTCTGATTAGTTTCTAATTCACCAAGACCCACTCTGATTGGCCAACACGCTTTTCCGTCATGGCGGGCTTTCCATATTAGGTTGGTCCTCGTCGCCTGGCGTCTGCGGCTTCCACGGCAACGTTGCCTCATGCAATGATGCACTTTATAAGTATGGGCGGACATATTTGTGTCAGCCTATAAAAACTAAAAATTGGGTTTTCTCTTTATGCAATACTGAATTATTTCACTATGTTTTTATTTGTTCATAAATCTAGCTGTGTTTAACTGTTTAGCAGCATCACAATTTAAAACCCTGTTATAGCCTATTTAATTTTTTCTCTCTCTTTGATTTTAAATTGTAAATAATATCGCAGTTAAAAATAGTTTTTTTTCTTCTTTTTTTTTTTTTTTGCTGCTTGTAAAAGTCGTGTGTGGCAGCATGGCTTTGTGTTGGGAATAAAATGGATACGATTTAACCCATATAACCCAACACGTCAGTGCTGCTGCCTYAGTGGACACGTTGTTGCACACTGCCACCTAGTGGCAACATAKAGCTCATGTTTCTGAGGATGGAGGTATTTTTAATATTTTTTTTAGGACTCAGGTTTTATTAAATTCTTCTGCACCAAAGTAAGGATATATTGTGTTTTTCCCATGCATCTAGAACACATCAAACTGGACTTTCACCACATTTGAAGTGGCCTGCAAGAGCTTCCAAGATGTATTATTAATGTATTAAATTAAGTGTATGCTGCTTTAAAACTAGCATTGACCAAAAGCTACATCTCCCATAATGCATGTCAGTTATTTTCCCCACGAAATGGGAGCATCCCACCAGGGTCAAGGTTTCAAAAGTAGCAGGCAACCGGTGAATTTCGCAGTGTAAAGTCTCCATTTCTCTGCATTTTCTCCAGCCACTTCAGTGTTTATGAGAACTTATTAAAGCACTGTTTCTATGCACAAAATACCACATACAGCTCAGTTGTTGTTTGTCAGTGGTGCACAACTGTAGCAATAAGACAACGAACGTGATGTTTTGCTTTTTTTTTTTTTTACCAAAATTAAACCCACTGGCCCTGTGCAGCCTTCGGTGAAAATAAATCTGACTCCCCTGGTCTCGAAGATAAAGTTACATTTTTAATTGAGATTGCACTGTTTCTGATGAGTTCATGCAATATGTTTTGAGTTATCATGTGAAAAACAGATTTAATCACTTTATTTCATTCAATTAAAACTGTTACATTGTGTTCTCAATTCAGGCGACATTGTAGCAATTTTAAAATTGTATCTTTTTGAAACACTGTTGTGATTAATTTTTTTTTTTATCAATTGTTTCTGTTTAAAATGCTGCTCATACACACTAAAAATGTCTGGATTAAAAACAACTCAATTTGTAACCCAGCATAGAGTCAATTTTGCCAACCGAGGGGAACTAGAACTCAGCAGTTGGATTATCAATTAGACCAGTTGAGTTTTCAACCCAAAAAATTGGGTTAAATGACTAATTTGTTTAATTAAAGCAACTAATAGGCTGAGTTAAAAAGAGCAAACCAAAATCTAGGTTGCCAGATTTTAACAGGCACATCTGGAGTGTGCGCCACAACAGAAACACACCACAACAGGAAAACAGGAGACTGGTGCCGTGACTTAACAAGTTTAATGTAAATCCAAGACAAAGTGTGATTACATTTCTACACATATACAATATGCATATGTGAGCATACAAATTYTCATTAATAACTCAATTCACCTCTCAGACCGAAAAAATGATCAAAAGTAACAGTGAATAACAAGCTATAACATAGTTCACCACGATGCGAGCCCCTTCTCATCCTACAGTTAGTAAAAACAGGACAATTAAAAGAACTACACTCTTCTATTTGATGAAGCTGTTTGTCTATTAAAAACCCTCCAGTAAAATTTACAGTGGTTTCATCAATGTTTTTCTTCTTCTTCTTCTTCTTCAAAGCCTAATATAAATTCACTCAATTTTCCTACAACAAAAATGATTAAGAGAAGCACACAACATCATAATGGAAACACAAGCGCTTTGTAGAATGTACTCAACTTGTTAGGAGGTTTAATTAATCATTTTTCTTACTGTCATTATTATATTTATTTAAACATTCTATAAAGCCAGTAAAATATCCATTCTCATAACATACTTGATAATGTTAGGCTAAGGAGCAGGGAATACATAAAACGCTACCTTCAACGGATTGAAACAAAGAGACGTCAATCCCAGATAAACAAAAGTAATTAAGAAAAGACAATTAACAGAGATTATTAGGAAATACTGCCGCACACGTTAACTTCATTGACAAAGAATGAAATATTACAACATTGAAAAAAAAAAAAACATACAGCAATGGACACAAAAAGGGGGTCAGGGTTTGATGCACTCTTAGGTCCTTAGAAAAGGTTAAACTAAAGCATCAGTGGCTATTTAATTTGGACTGACGTGGTCTCTGGTGGTTTGCAGTGAAAACAAGCTCGTTTTGAGTGTAGCTTTGGTCTACCACATTCAGAGTACTACAAAAACAAAAATAAGTGGAAACAGATTTAAAATGGTACGTTTGAAGCTAAAAGCAAAGCAAAAATAAATAAATGGTAATAAGCCAGTTTTCACTTTTGTTTCTACTATCAACTAAAAGGGGTGTTTGCATCTTTTTTTTAATTAATGTGAATGCAATAACACAACTCCTCCTGTCTGCGACGGCATCAAACCATGACCTACCCCACCCTGAATACCCCCAAAACATAGTCAGCAATTTGAGTTACAAAAAGAAAAGAAAAAAGAAAGACATGTATCTAAAAGGGCTTTCAGAATGTTTGTGTAACTAGCATTTTTAGTGATTAAGAGTTCATTAACACATGATTTCTCCACCTGGATCCCCCTTCCTTTAACTCCTCTGAACTTTGGAAAGCAGCTGCGGCTTCAGTTTGTCTCGTCGCTCGCTAAACATCAAGTTCCAGCACTTTGAGGATGAGTAAATGTTGCAGTGTGTGTGTGTGTGTGTGTGTGTGTGTGTGTGTGTGTGTGTGTGTGTGTGTGTGTGT